AGGCTGCAACTTGGGATCTTGTTGTGCTTCATTGGCTAAATCTTCATATTCTGTAAACTGTACTACTGAAATGGTGTTCAAATCTAGTCTCTCCACTCTTCGTGATAAAGCATCTACCACCTTGTTTGTTTTTCCCGGCCAATAGTGAATGTCGAAAGAGAACCCCATTAGTTTAGACAGCCACTTTTGTTGTTCAGGAGTTTTAATTCGCTAGTCAGTGAGAAATTGCAGACTTCTTTGGTCAGTTTTGATGACGAATCGTTTGCCCAATAGATACGGGCTCCACTTATGCACTGCAAAAACGATTGCCATTAGTTCTCGTTCATATACTAACTTCTGTTTTGCTTGTGGTGAAAAGGTTTTGCTTAGGTAAGCTATGGGTCTAGACTGTTAGGGACCAAAACTGCTCCCATTCCGTGACCTGAAGCATCAGTCTGCACTTCAAAGGGAAGTGCAAAGTTTGGAACTGCTAAGATTGGAACCGTAGTCATAGTTTCCTTGAGTCTATCAAAAGCCATTTGTGCTCCCTCATTCTAACTAAATGAATCTTTTTTAAGCAAATCCGTAAGTGGTTGTGCAATACTGCCATACCCCTTGACAAATCTCCGGTAATATCCCGTAAGGCCTAAAAATCCCTGTAGACCTTTCACATTGGTCGGAACAGGCCACTTAACCATTGCCTCAATCTTGTGTGGGTTTGCTTCCACTCCTTGCACTAAAATTATATGGCCTAAATAGTCTAGTTTTTGCTGACTGAACAAGCACTTCTTCCTGTTCATTACTAGTTCGTTGTCTTGTAAAATCTTAAGGGCTTGTTCGAGATGAATCACATGGGAATCAAGATCAGGACTGTAAATCAAAATAGCATCAAAGAAGACCAACACAAATTTCCTCAAAACAGGTTTAAAAATAACATTCATTAGGGCTTGAAAAGTTGACAGAGCATTAGTCAGGCCAAATGGCCAAATGGCATAACTAGGAACTCATAGTCACTGTGATGAGTTTGGAAGGCCGTTTTGTGAATATCCTCCTCCTTCAATCAAATCTGGTGGTATCCAGATCATAAATCAAGCTTTGAAAAGAAAACAGCCCTAACTAATTCATCTAACAACTCCTCGATAGTGGGTATGGGGAACTTATCAGGGATAGTTATATCATTGAGTGCCTTATAATCAACACAAAACCTCCAACTCCCATCCTTCTTCTTGACTAGTAACACTAGGCTGGCAAAATGGATGGCGCTAGGCTGAATGATCCCTGCTACCAACATTTCTCCCACCATTTTCTCTATTTCATTTTTCTGGAAATAAGGATATCTATAGGGTCGTTTATTGGGTGGTCGAGCTCCCTCTTACAGGACTATGGCATGGTCATGCTGTCGGTGTGGGGGTAGTTTAGTGGTCAAACAATTGGTTATACCCTTCCATCAATGATACAATCCTAGGGTCGGTGGGTTCTCCATTTTGTTCTGGCACACATTCAGTGGAGCAAAATTTGACTAAATAGCCTCCTCCGATGGAATAGAGTGACCTTAACATGGCTTTTAGAGATACCACCGTCTTAACTAGGGATGGATCTCCCTGTAGGCTCACCCTTCTGCCTCCCAACTCAAATTTCATCGTCAGGTTCTTCCAATTTGCGCAAACATCACCCAATGAACTCAACCACGTCACCCTTAATACCACATCAGCTCCACCCAAATCAAAAGGGAAAAAATCTTGGGTAATCTTAACGCCTTAGACCTCCAGTTGCACTCCCCTACAAACACCTTCTCTTCTCACTGTGACACCATTACCTACCATCACCCCAAACCTTTTTCCTTTTTCAATTTGCATGCCCAGTTTGCGCACCAAGTCGTGTGAAATAAAATTGTGGGATGCCCCACTGTCAACGAACACAATAACCCCCACCCCTTCAATCTCTCCCTTAATTTTCAGAGTCTTGTCAGAGGTGATTCCGACAATAGAGTTCATGGATAAAGCTAGAGGGTTACCTTTAGTAGTGGGTTCTTCATCGTTGTTTGGTGGTGTTTTGCTCTTCTCTGGATCATCATCTTCCCATGCCAGCAAGATCTGCAGAGATTTGCTCCTACATCGGTGGTTAGGGCTAAACTTTTCGTCACACCTAAAACAAAGCCCCTTCTCCCTTCTGAGTTGAATTTCTGCTTCAGTTAACCTTCGGAAATGTTTCCCTCTAGAGCTCGAAGTTGTCGTCGCCGGTGGAATATCCCTCCTATCGATAGAACGATTTGACGAAGAATGGGTCTCGCCTGAGATTTTAGTGGTATTGGACCACCAACTGGGTCGCCCAACCTCTAGGCTTGGAGAGACCCCTGAGTACCCTTCAATTTTTACATTTTGGGCTTTAGTCATTTTGGGCCTAATTTTATCAAGCACCCAGTTTTTTTCTTCAACTCGATGGGCATGTTCCATCACTTCCCCCAGATCTTTGGACTGTATGAGACGCAATTTAGCTTTGATTTCTTCCTTCAGTCCATTTTTAAAGATACCCATTAGCATCTCTTCTCCCAATTCCTTCAACGAAGCTGTATGTGCTTCAAATTCTTCGCGATACTCTGTCACCGATGCAATCTGTCTCAATGCTACCAATGCCTCATAGGCTGTCCCTTGAAAGGATGGTCTAAATCTGGCAATTAAAGCGGCTTTGAAATCCTTCCAATTTTGGACTGGTCTCCGAGATTCAAGCCATTGATACCAATTTAAGGCTCTTCCTTCCATGCACATGGCGGCGGCCTCCACCATTTCCTTTTCTTCGTATCGATTAATGGCGAAATATCTGTCAGCCTTGAAAGTCCAGCCAAAAGGATCATCTCCGTTAAAAATGGGTTGCTCGAGTTTGCGAATTTTGTTGTCGTCCTTCCTGTTATCCCCACTGTGATTTAGTTCACATCCCTTATCTCCGCCGGAACTTTGATTTTCTGGAGTTACAGACATTTTCTCCTTCTCCTGATAACGTTTCTCCTCCCTTTCCTCCCTCAACCTCATCAGTTAAGTACTTCTTGACACTACCTAAGTCGGTCTTCATCATGCCCATATCTTCCTTCACGGTTCTCATTTCCTTTTCCACATTTTCCATTCTGTTCTCCATTTTGGATTTTACCATTACCCAACCTAGCTTTGATACCAAGTTGATGGAACCACCTATTCAATTAACTCAATCCAACCACAACACATAAGAGTAGAAATGAAAGTAACACACAATATGATAAAACTGACTGTTATTATTGAATACTGAAAGAAATAGCAACATCCAAAAAGAGTGACAACAGATCAATCCCCAGCAATTCGAGGAGCTGGATGCCTCCAAAAATACCTATAAGAATTTACTTGATACCTCCTTTACCACTCTCTAGCTATTTATACCGAAATACTTACTAAACTAACCTTACTCTAACAAACTTTATTCTATCTAGCCACTTGCATGCAAAATCTCGTAATAAACTCTCACTCACACTCATTTCACTCATTACCCCTTAGTGCTCTTTTTACGACCCCTCGACTTATAAACCATATTAACAGGAGGTGGTCTATCAGATTGTTATGTAACAAGCTAGCCCATAGACATAATTATGCTATTTGCCTTTAAAATCTGAAACGATGAATTAAACTTTTATAATCTTCTAAGGTAACTTTTTTTTTTTTTTAACTGAGGTATTTGGGTCAGTTTACGAGCACCTTGACTATACCTTAAGGGAAGTTATCCCACAGTAACCTACCGCTGCGACCTCCCAGGTAAATCATGGGTAAAGATACTACATTTGCATCCAACGGGAAATCAAACCTAAAACTGTGGATTGAAGTCATACACAAACCCCTTCATTGGTTCAATTGGGAATCAAACCAGATACTACTTTTTAGCTAAATGAGTAAATTAGGATTCTTTATGACTTATGGTCTCCTCTAGTTTAATATGTGAGTGTGAACAATTTCAAAGTTAACAAGTATTGATCAAAACCTGGGCGATTATAGAAGATGCCATTCCTATAACCCTAGAGCATGGCTAATAAGCACCAAGCCAATGCTATGATTGAGATAAACTCTTGGTGAATATATTTTACATTAAAACAATACTTACAATTACAAGTCATTTTATAGTTTTTCAAATATATGTATTGTAGAGGTATCTTAGATTTATTGATTTAGTATTTGTATGGGCCAAAAATCGTGTTGAGCCTGACGAGGCCCAATAGACAAGATATATAGATAACGGCCCCCCAACTCCGGTTGGCCTATGCTTAAATCATTCTTGCGAACTGCTCTCTCTATGAGTTGGACTATCCTGCAAGCTAAACTAAGCTAGGCCAAACCCACTAGCCCACAACAGTCCAAAATAAGAAGCATAATCCTATTCTGTTTCCACTTCTATCAAGATCCTAGATTACAATCATTAATGTTAAGCTTAACCCAATAAAGCAAGGAGATCTTATCTCTAACCCAATAAGGAAAATAGATCATATCTCTTTCCTAAGAACAACTCCTTTACCTAGTAGGATTCAGAGTCCTACTAGGATTCGAACCTTTTAGGTTCACTATATAAACATAGGCAAATTCCCTCATTATTTATTCAAAAATCACCCACAACACCTACTTGCTCATAAGTTCTTACTCCCAAGAACCACCCTATTATTTTGGTACTCACTCTCCCGCATCGAAGTGTCTACGGCAGGCACCACACTGGTGTCTATCTAACCTTCACGTTCCATCTTTGTGTCCTTTGTGCAGGTCTACTAGGTTGTCAGTGGCTCACTTTGTACAAGATCAGTCCCTCTCAATTTGACCGTAGATTTTACCAGTATTTAGTAATTTTAACCCAGAGATGTTTTAGAACCCTGTGACATATATATATAAATTGATGTGAGGTTATTTTTTATTTATAGATAATTAATTAATTATTGATAAATTTAAAATGGTCAAACGCGGTCGTGTTGCCAATGTGCGTTTTGCTCCCTTGACAAATATCACAGCAAATTATCCGTCTCCTTTAAAGCTTTCACTCTCCCTCACATTCACACTACATACTCTCCCATGTCTTATAAATTTCAATCTTCTTCTTCTTCTTCTTCTTCTTCTTCAGCAGATTAGGGTTTCTAATTCCACTTTCAATTCCTCCAATTCTCCCATTCTTCTCCTCAAATGACTTCTCAATCCTCACTTCACTACGGTTCCCTTCCTTCCACCTCTTCCCCACCCTCCTCCACTGCCGCCTTCCTCTCACGCGCCAGAGCCTCCACCCTCTCCGCCTACTCCACCCGCCGCCCATGGCCTCAATTCTTCCACCTCCACTCCCTCAGCCGCCCCTTATCCTTCGGCGAAGCCACCATCCGCCTCAAACGAAACCTGGCCTACTTCCGTGTTAATTACGCCATGGTTATTCTCGTAATTCTCTTCCTCAGCCTGTTGTGGCACCCCGTTTCAATGATCATCTTTTTAATTGTCTCCGTCGCGTGGTTCTTTCTTTACTTCTTTCGCGATCAGCCGTTGGTGATTTTCCACCGTCAGGTGGACGATCGCGTGGTGTTGGGAGTTCTTTCTGTTGTGACGATTTTGTCCTTGGTTTTCACGCACGTGTGGTTGAACGTCTTGGTTTCGCTGTTGATTGGGGCGTTTCTGGTGTGTGTACACGCGGCGTTTCGAGGGACTGAGGATTTGTATTACGATGAAGGTGACGGTGCTGATAATGGGATGTTTTCTGTTGTGGGGAGCCCCCCCGGAGTTGGCTATAGCCGCGTTTAGTTCATTTTGATTATCAATTCGTGGTGGTTAGTCAGAATTTTTTTTTTCTTTCTTTTTTGAAATTTTTTTTTCTTTTTTTTTTTTTACTTGGTTACATTAAATTTGTGGTTGTAAATGTTTATATAGGTTTCTCTTTATAAACGGAGAGTTGAATAAGTAGATGTTATAGTATTCAAGTGAGGCAATTTAATTTTAATGTGAATTTTGATGCCAGTGTCTCTCTTATTGTGTATGAATTGATTTGTCCATTTTAGATTCAAGAATTCGTTCAGCAGGAATTTTGATGTATTAGTCTAATTATGGCTTCCTTTTTGTTGTGTTTTTTTCCATTTAAGTTATTTTTTGCTAACTCTAAAGATTAAACTATGTTCTTGTTACTAAATCTTGTGCCATTGTGGGTTTTAGCTACGGCTGTACCATGAAAGTTAGGCTCGGATTCACCTCTATAGGTTGGATAATAGGATTTTCCGAATGATCCGATGCTCATTTGCTCCGACATTATGTGTGGAGCGAGCAGAAAGAAAAAAAATCTTCTCTAGAGTAATGTAGCAAACTAATAATTCTCAAAGCGTAGTAACAGAGATTGAGAAACAATTGTAAGACAAGGCTTGCCTTGCTTTTGGGAAAGAAAAAAAAGTGTAATCGGAAAAGCAAAAATTATTGGTGTCACAGTCAAATGCAATGGCCAGTGACCTGAAGTGTTTTTGGTAGACTTAACATCTAAAGCTGATATATACTTGTGGATCCCCTTTAGAATACTTTTTTGGTGGTGTCATGCTTTATTGTGTGTGTAATTGTGGGTTCCCATCTGAGAAGTTGGTTTTATAAAAATGAGGTTCTTAAAATTTTAGGGTCTAATGAAGGTTAGCAACTAAGCTTCTGAATGCTTATGACCTTATGCTGTTCTCATATAATACCCGGTTGTTATATTTGCTAATCTAGGTTTAAGAGTATGTTCATTCCTAGACGATCATGGAATATATTTCAACTACCTCATTTAATGCTTGATCGCACAGCATAAATATGCTTTACATACTTTAAACCAAAGTAAGCCGTCGAGCATGTACCGGATATTGTTGTGTGTGTACATAAACCTCTACTGGGAAAACTAAACTGTTACAGCAAAACTGTGAGAGATTTCTCATCAATAATCATAGATTATTTGGCCCTTTGTATTGAATTTCATGCAGCTGGAGTTCTGATTGATTGTTTTTTCATGTACAATAATTAACTGGATTATGTGTTTCTTCTGAAATCTGGGATCGGCATGACTGAATTTTAGCACATAGGTCTGGCATGTGCTTCAACTTACATGTAATATTGGCATTTTCGACTCCATAACTTTCTTGGGGTTCAATATTATTCGATGTGTGGATGTTTCTCTTGATGGAATCAATTGATGGACAAGCTATTTAGCTATCTTCATCATATTTTTCTTTTTCAGGACCAGCAATTTAACTATATAATGTGTAAATAGATTTGGCCAATGTGATCTGGGTTCCCATTGTAATTTGATGAAGAGTTAATTCTCGCACCATGGTTGGCTGGATTCAAGGAAGGGAAAGGGTTGTGTAAGGAAATAGAATTCTTCCTTCTTTTGGTCCATTTTGTTGATAGGATGGTTGAGAAAAGGGAGGGTCGTTACTTGCTACAAGGGAGTGTTCATTAACAAGGGAGAATAAGAGAAACTTTTAGATTATTTTGACCATTATATTTTAAAATCTGTTACATTAAAATTTCTGCAGATTGGATAAATAAAGTGCGCAAGTTGAAATTGATCACTAAATAAAATTACGTCCAAGGAAAATTGTTGAGATTGGACTACTCTTACGGCTCTAGCAGAGACTAGTTGATATCTCCGAAACCACAATCTTCCCCAGCTCAAAGTGGGAACTGATGCAGCTGAGACTACTAGATACAAATTAGTTTTCTTCAATGGTACTTACACAGCCTCTACTTGAATGACATGTAGCTGAAAATCTGAGTTTATTATATGATTCATTTGTTCAAAATCACTACAATACCAAACTGGCAACTCCATGAAAACAAAAATATATCGATAAGAGGCGAGAGGCTCTTTTGTAGTCACGTATGTTCACCTTCATTGTTGCAGTTTGTAACATGGCGACTGCAATACAATAAATGTAAAGGAACAATTTCTGGTAATATATATGCTAAATTGCACTCCTGTCACTAGATACAAATAATGGTATAAGATTATGTAGATGTACTGGCCACAATGAAGGTAGGCCTTAATGGAAGCCGCCCTGGGCCTTTCGAGCATATGTGAGTACCATTACAAAATCTTTTGCGGAGGAACCAATCTTTGCTGGTACTTTTTCTGGTGTTGCTGCTGTTTGCAGCCACAAATCAACTAAATTATACAATTCCAAAGTGGGGATCACTGATTGTCCCATACATTTGATCTCAACCTGCAAAAATATCAAAAAGATTTGTACTGAATTTTAACTGTTACATTCACCTTCATTTCTGTAACATTCATAAGCAAAATGTCAAACTGCTCGTTGATACAAAGATATATTAAAAAATTTAACAATACTTTTCATTTTTCAGTGATTTCAGAAAGCAACTGAAGATTACGAGAACATCTTGATTTTATAAAAACTTTACCAACCGTCACCAGGCAGTATTCATGATCGAATAATTTCAAAGACAACCACAATTTTCTACTTGATTGTTTTGGAATTTGCATTTGACCTGAATGTCTTTTCTCATTGTTATGATTAGCTGATGTTTTGTCCATACAGAAAGAGTGGATGCCCATTTAATATTAGTCATTTTGAATATAAATTAATAAACATAAGTAATACTGAAAAGCATTTCAAATTAGATTGGAAAATGTAAAAGTTTTGAACTTTGACATGTAAAGAAAAAATTGAAAGGCAAAATGAACCCCGCTTCCCCCAAAAATGATTTAGTTTTTAATGAAAAACATTTTGAGGGTTGAACCTTTGACATGAAAAACCACTTTCAAGACACAGTTATAAGCACATGAGATCATGTTTGACTGGATCTGCAGGCTGAAGAGAAACATTGACATCATTTCAATTTTCTCTGATTATCTTTACTGAGAATTCATGGACAGATTCACTCACCTCAGATTCATTAGTGAGATCTAGTTTCTTCATCAAGTACTTCTGGATAAAAGAAACAGGTACTTTTCCATCCCTGACACAAAATATAAAACAAAAACATGGTACATAAATATTTCCTCAAATCAAAGAATTATTTTTACTTGAAACAAAAATATTCTTCCAACCACAATTTGTTATTAAATAATAAAGTTACAGTGCCATATTTTGAGTATCAGAAATATTATCATTTGACTAAATCTTGTTGCAAAGCATGGTTGCCATCTCTTATGGCCAACCTGAAAATGAACTTCAGGGCAGGACTCATTAATACACAAGTGAAATAATCCACTGCATGATGACTTACCTAAGTTGAAAGGCTTGAGAAAAATGATTCAGCCAGTGATAACAGACCACATAATTGAACGACTATTGAAGTCAAATTAAGGGGCTTCATGTAAGACGTGGGGAAACATTGGGGTTATAGATTTCGTATGGTTACATTCATACAAGAAATGCAATAAAATGTCTCAAAATACAGCAGAATAGCATAGTAATACAAAAGATGAGTTACAGAATATTTTACTTCTTTCAGCAATGAAATTAAAATAATCAACAGCTGGAATGTGACTCCAGTGAAACCATGCTCATCTTACAGGATCTGTGATCAGATTCTGAGAAACTACTACTAGGATCTCATCTCCAGTTGGTCATTACTTTAGAAACTTCTAAGAAAGACATTACTAACCATCAAACCACAGTGATTTCAAATAAACACTTCTACTTTTCTATAACTACCTAAGAAAATGTGGTTTGATAGTATAAGTACTATCGAGAAGGCTTTCTCATTGAACTTGGACTGGAAATATGGAGTTCATGCCACTAAGGCAGGACACATGCATGACTATCTTGATAGGATTCATAACAGAAGCCCATCAATAGTCCTACCTGTCCTGGGAGGAGAAATGTACTAAAACAAATGATCAAGTTTGTAAAGAAATAACTAAATATGAGTCAGGTTGATGGCGGGGTTGATTGCAGGCTACCTTGAAAAACTAAATGTCATTTTCAAGTCACCTTATCCCAGCCAAGCTTGTCTCATTGTAAACTAAAGATATAAGGAAGGAAAGTGACTTCCAATAGTTGACCCCTTTATCTCAAAAACAGAGTGAGCCTTCTCCTTGTTCCTGCGACTCTAAGCTAAACAATATCAAGGATATGGCCTAATTGTCTCTTGATTTTAACACATGCATTTATTAACATGTAAATTAATCATATTTTGTGCAGTTGCTAATGGCTAATCAAATACCCCAATCATATCAAATAAAGTTCTGCTTTATTAAAATTTGCATGATGTTGATCATGAAATACTCCAAAAACACTCTGTTAGACCATCAATCCTGCTCCAATTTTGCAGGTAAACTATAAGTCAATCCTTTCCTCTTGGATATCTGAATTTTGACAATGCAGATGCACATTGGAACACACACATAGAAATAAATTTGTTACTCAAAAACGAAATCACCTTCTGATCCTTGGGTTGTTTTTTCCCTGCTTATATCCAGTTACACTTATTTACTTTTTTCAGTCATAAACATGATAATAAAAAATGTAGGGGAGAAAATAATACCTTTCCATGCATGAAATGTCCATTAAATTTTATGTTTAGAAAAGGGAAGAATCCACTTAGAAAAATAAGATGAAATTCAAGAATTTGCAAACATAAAAAGTATATGTCGATGAAAAAATTACATCCAAGTCATGCTTCTTTATATATATGTATATATAAAAGAGAGAATACTTGAGATTGAAATTGAAGGGGAGGGACTTGAACCATTAAGAATGAATTCATTCAACAAGCATAATGCATGGCATCTATAAGCATGCAACAAAGTGACAAGAAACTCACTTTATTCTTAAGTAACTAGCTGGAATTTGTGGCAAGGGCAGGCCTCCTCCCCTGAAAGGATTAAAATGAAGTCAGTAATGTGAACGGTTTCCAAAAATGTATAGACTACATTTAATATTGAATTTTCAAGTTTTAAAGCTTAATTGATACTCACTGGACTTCAGAAGCTACTAGAGAGAACCAAATTGGACCACTTCTTCTCTCATACTTAGCACCATTGGCTTCCAACACAGATTGGGGTGAAATATTTGAATCCCCAAAAGCAGCCGTTGTTTTTCGACGAATTCTTCGCAACTTTTTGGGATTTCCTGTTTCTGAAGAGGTAGGATCAGTGCTATTTGGTTTATCCTCAACTTTTGATTTCAATTTGTCTTCCTTATTTTTTATTTTATGCCCTTGAATTTCATTGTCATGAACATTAGCAGGTTCTACTTTAGCATCTGATCCTTGTGAATTAGACTTGAAGGACCTGGTTCGACTTGCAACTTCCACCAAAAAGTTCAAAGGTTTCCAGAGATCCGATTTTGCATCACATTGTTCAGCATCATTCTCCGTTTCTTTGTTGGGTATGGATTGGCCAGGATGAGCAGAGGAAGAACTCTGAACCAATTAAATTTGTAGCATGAAACGTATTACTAAGTTGAAGAAAACCATGCAAATACAAAACCCTATTGCAGAATACAAGACCACGTCAATGAGAACACAAATAAAATATATTGTGCTCTTTACCTGTCTTCCATTCTGAGATAGCTTATTAAGAGTTTCAGGTGAGCTTAACCCATCCTGATGATCCTCCATGGAGTCATCCTCCTTTTTAAGGGATTTCTCCACGGAAATACTTGAACCCCGTAAAGCAGCAGCCTTTCTTGCAGCAGCATTTGTTCTTCTCCTGGTCATAGTAGTCTGTGCTGATACTCTGGGTGCACTGACAACCAATGATGAGAGTGACCTTTCCTTTCTTCTAACTGGTAACGAAACTGAGGGCACAGCTTCAGGTGCCCTCACCTTTCTTCTTTTTAGAGGAAAGATCTTGGCCCTCACATCTTGCAAACTATGGTCCTGCCTGTTAAAGACATCAATGCACAAGGATTTCTTAAAAGGAAAAAATATATAGCTTGAATCAAACGAGGTCTTAGGCTGCACAACTGAGGTGTATGTGTGCTGAATAAACACTAATTATTGTTGTATTCGAAAGGTATATAGATAAAAGAATTTCCAGAGGGCCAATGACCAATTGCAGCTTATAGCAATGTGAATCTCCATGTCATGCGGCTTAATAACCCTCCCCCCACCCACAGGCAAACAAAGGCACATGCCAAAACACAACCAGAGGGTATGTACCAGGAAAACTCAACATCATCAACCATATAATTAAACCGACACAAACCAATAGCGCAGAGAGCATCGTTATATTGACACATACATACAAATAGGTCTCTGCCACCATCCCAACAGGATAACGACTCAAGTAAAATTCAACAATTAGCTATTTCTCTTCACTCAGAAATTAGCAAAGCAACACCAATAAAATTTTCACAACAGCTGAGCGAATCAAAGAGAAGCAATTTCCTCTAGAAAGTCAGCAAAATTCATGCTAAACATGAAACAACTGACTACCATGAAGCAAAACCTATTGGGTCAGCAGAAGGATCTCACCTCAATTTCTCCGAAGGAACAGCACCCAGAGGGATATCACATAATGGGGCAGCGTTCCAACTCCTCATCAACAAATTTTTTATTTATGCATTTTCTGCAAACTGAAAAAGAATTCCAAAAATTAAATCTTTCAGAAAATCTCAATTAATCCATACCTTGAAGAGAACCCAGAAAAAATTGCATGTCAAATACACAGCAAATCCATACAAAAAAATGTCAAAATGTAACATGAAACACAGACTCGAGAGTTGTATGATTCACCCGTAATCATTTACTTGACTCAAAACACATTATCTAAACTAACGAAAGTTTGACCGCAATCATGACTCCTTTAATTAAAGCTCAAAGTTCGCAATAGCTGCTGTCTTGTTTTCACCATGACCCAAAAATAGCTTCGAAGAAAGTATGCGCAAAATCATCGTGAGCCATATATTAAAATCACAAAGTCATAAGTAAAATAGATAACTCTCAAATTCTTGGATACGTTGCTTCCAAAAAGGAGATGTTTCAGCGTCAACCAGCATTCGAGTTTACTTTAAAAGACCAAACAGTGAAACGAAACCCAGATTAGAAGAAACTCAAAAGAAGCCGAACCCAGATCGTAAAAGATGCAAAACGGGAAGAAAACGAAGAAAGCGGAGAAAAAATTAGAGAATTTGACAGCAGAAAATTATAATCAGAAACGAAATAGTAATAAACAGAAACAAATTGGAGAGAAGCAAATTTCGAAAGACTTACAGGAATGAAGGCACTCGGTGATGGTGGTGGATCCGAGGAGCTTATTACACAAAGGACAAGTCATGCATGCTGCAATCGTTTCTCGCTTCACTTTACCACCAGATTGTTCGCCATTTCTCTCAACACAAGAACACACGTGTCCACACACTCCTGCATGTTCATCAAAATCCCCCACGTTACCGAAATAAAACACATGAAGCTCACGACTCACAAGATTTACGTTCACATTACAAACACACCACCAACCCAACACATCAAACTCACAACAAAAGTAACGAGATACCCAGAACAGAAAATGAAGAGAGAAATAATTAATAAAATTCGGCTGCAAATATATATTTTCCATGAAGAAGATTGACATTAAGGGAGAGACTGAGATTAAGTGGTGATGATCTGCAACGAAGAGATAAAAGAAGAGAAGTTTAGGATATATAATAAGAGAGATTGCTGAGAATTGACGAGAAAAAGAGAGTTGAAAGGAGGATCTGAATCGAGATATAGAATGGGATAGAGAGGTTTGGTTCGTCGAAAGAGAAAAGCATGAAGCGAGAGAGTTTCTTTGTTTTATATGCGTACAATAATTAAAAAATATGAATAATAATAATAATAATGGTATTAAAGAAGTTCAACAGCTTAATAGAGTTTGGGAGCAGACTCAGGATATAATGCGCTGCGTATTAAGGTGCGCACAGGGTGGCGTGTCTACGAGGTCGCATTTTGCGCGGATCAGTATTAATGTTACAAAATGTAGGTACAAGCGCATGCTATACTGAGTAGGTGTAGTGTAGTAGTAATAGTAGTAATTTTTTTTTCTTTTTATTTTTTTCCCAAATTTTATAAAAATTAATTGAAACGGAATTTTCCATTGATAAATTAGATTTAAAAATAAAGGTTGTACCTTTTTCTAATATGACATGTACATTTTTCAAGATATGGATGGTCAATGACTTGGTACTTTGTTTTGGTATTAACAAATGAAATAATACATACAAAAGAGTTAATACTCGTAACCCTCTTAGGTATCTTTAACATAGTAAAGGTATCTAGTAGCCTATAAATTTCTGTCATTACTGATTTTGTTACATTTTAAACAAATCTCTCTTTTATTTATGACTAAGTAATTTTAAAAATCGAATTCATGACATTAATCTTTGTAGGTGTAATTTAATAAAAAATACCCTAAGTAACAAAAATCCCCTGCCATTAATAAGTGATAAAAATTACAGATTATGAGTTAGTAAATATTATTAAATACCTTTTTATCATTTATTTTAATGCCTAAAATAACGACAAAATGATTTTTTTTATTTTCAAAAACACAAAGAATTTTTATAATATATCATACTTAGGAGTATTAATATCATTAACTTAATAATCATTGGCGTAGGTGTTCAAGACTATTAGGTATATTTAATAGGGTTACATAAGGATACCTTACGCTATTAACCCTAGAGACAAACAATTATGTACGTTTTATTTGATGGGTACAAAAACGGAAATAAGAAGCAAGAAAAGTAAAGGGCAAGAATGTAAAAAGAAAAGTATTTTCTTCTATTTGAAGAAAGGCAAAAGGGCATGAGACCAAGGGAAGGAGATTATTAGACCGTACATTTGATACTCCCCCCTCTTCCAAGTTCCATCTCAATTGAGAAACAGTAAGGTTTCACCTTTTCTTACTCAATTACAAAACTTCTCAACAAACAAATGTTCCCTCCACTTTAACATAGAAAGAAAGACTTTATTTAACCTGAGGTTTCGATCAACTATGCTTAGGTGTTGATTTTAAAATACCAAAATTTATCCCCTTAAATTAACAAAGTTTAGGGATGATTTTTTGTTTTAAATCAAAGACCCCTCATTTTGATATTGACCGATAACTTATTCCACTTTGAGGTTTTGGTTAACTTTTCTAGGTCCTGCGTTTTAAAATGCTAAGATTTATCCCTTCGAATTTAACAAATGTTACATAATAGTTAATTGGGATAGTTTTTTGATAAATCAAATACTCTTCATTTTGATATGTTCAATATTACTGAATAATGATATATATATTGTTACTTTAATTCAAGGAGGTAATCCCAAGATTTTAAAGTGCAGTACTCAACGGTAAACCCAAAACCAGAGGGTAAACAATTAACTCACAGAATGGCTCAATAGCCATAGTGGCTTAACTTGTTTTTACTCTGGATTTTATGTTAATTATAGTAATCCTAAGATGTGATATGGCTGCCTCAAAGGCTAAAACGTTATAAGCTAAGATATGAATAAGTCAAAAAGTTATGCCCAACTCTTTCTTTTGCCAGGTGGCTAGTTGAAATTTAGGCACCACATATGATTTTTAATGTTCTATTTTCAAAGGCTTACACATCAACTATTCTTCCGCAACTGAATTCCAAATTGCCCTACCAAACTGTAATTTTTTTTTTTCTTTATGGTTATTTAAATAATAGAAATAAGTGCACTAAGAAGAGTAGACCACATTGTTAAAAGGTGTGTTTTTGTTGTTAAACACAAACATCATTTTGATATGCTAATGTCAAAATAGAAATAGACTATGTTTGTTAATGCATCCAATTTTCTATTATTCTTTATTGTCCTTCAAAAAGATATTGTTCGATAATGTTTAATTGTTTTTGCTTTTATTCTCATGAAACAAAAAAACTCATCAATTTTTTTTGTTAAAAAGAAAACAATAATGTCTTCTTTTCTTTATAATATTGTTACTCTCTCAAATAAAAACTTACATAAACTGATAAAAGTTAAAAGTTAAGCTTCAAGTACTTTCATTTTTTTTTTTTTTCTGGTAACTGGAATGTTAAGTCAGCTTACGTGCACAACTAATCCTTAAGATCATTGATATCCTATAAACCTAATGAACAAGTAAGACACAATTATGCATTAAGGTAAATAACCCAAAGTTTAAATCCAAAAAATCAAGAAAGTGAGTACACCTCTTTGACGACCAAGCAAACACCTTAAGGTGTCCGAACCAATTACAAACATATCATATATCAATACATTTTCACTTTCGTATATCAATTTTATTTTTAATAATTTTAGAAAACAAAACGAATTCATTAAAAACATATACCCTAAAATACGCCTTTTAATTAGATCCCTAACAAATAAAGAAAGAAAGAGAGATAACTAGATAATTACTAATATCAATTCCAAGCAATTTCGACAAGCCCCACATGCGCAATCATTTGGATCAAAATGAATAGCGATGCGGCAAGGGAGGACAGGAACATCAAGATTTCTGAAACAAAAATAGGAAATATAATAGCAATTTATGGCGCGTGCTGGAAGCTAAGTATTGACAAAACAAAATTAAAAGCGGTCCCGAGTCCACCAATGAGAAACAATCTAATCTTTACCATAAATTGCTGAACAAAACGTAAATCATAATCCAAACCTTACTATACATACACAACAATTAATTATGCGTCTTGAATTTAGTTGTACCTAAGGGCTGGGAAGTTACCTAATATTACAGCCACAAGAATTCCAACATAATGATACCACACTCTTGTTCAAATCTCAATCACTACTATTACTTTCAGGACCCATCACCCAATGATAAAATGCAATGCACCATAAATCAATTTACATGAAGTTGTAAAAATTTCTTCCCAAGAGCGACTAAATATGCTTTGCATACCTCCTTCAAACTGATTTTATATGTATCAAGACCCGACAAGACCTTCTGCGAGCATAGAAGATTATTTTTGAGAAAAGGGATGCACAAACTATACCGGTGACGATGACCACCTAGAGTTCAAAAATTTCAGAGAAGATGAGATTTATTCAAGTTATAGTTGTTTTTGTGAAGACCTAGGCGAATTGCCTTGGTTTAGATTTTGAGGCCGCGTTTTGGTTTGATAATCGAGATGTATCTACTACCCATTTAAATACATATCCATGTTCAGTCTTCCCCGTATAGGGGATGTTCATGCCAAATATTGCAGCCACCAAAGAATATACCGACAAGCAAACAGTCCCAGAACTTAGAAAGAGCTCTAACTGGCACATATAATAAAATCATCACTATGACACAAATAAAACTGCACTGAGACAAATAATTTAAGGATTTCTAGCTAGCTTTAAAGTAAAGAATAAAAAAAGCACTAGAACAATGAGCAGAGAAAAGGATTTGATCAGATTCAAAAGACATCACCTGAATAAGCTGATTTCGATGGTATCAAGCTGCAACATGAAATAAATCAACATTTAAAACATTTTTTTCTCTCCAAAACCATAAGGATGTTAACAAGCAACGATTGAACTGATAAGTAGAGCCTCAATTTAACAAACATTTTAAGAAATATTATTACCTCATTTCATCAAAACTTAGAATTAAAATTGTCGGACTCACCTGAATGTTTATGTAATCTCAGTGTCATCTATGTATTCACGCAGCTGGTAAGAAAAGAATAATTAGCATAAGCATCAGCAATAAAATACAAGAATCATTGTCCCAAAGTCCTCCTTGGATGATTCCAGATACTATGCATAATTTCCTCCTTCTTCACTCATTTGCTATCCAAAGAGAAGTTCACGGTGTGATGCTTACCGTGGCCAATTTATTCAGTGTGCCATCAATTTGCATAAAGTAAGCCTGCAAAAATAATCCAGTACCCGACTCAAATTGTGTTGGTTAAATAGTCCTGTGACATTTCACTGTCAGTCAAAGTTTATAACCTCAAGAGCATTTCAAGTTCATCACATCATTCTCCTCGAGTTGTTGCTGGCACTGTTCACTTGTTCTAGATATTTTTGAACCTATAGTTGGAGAGTTAAGAAACCAAGTAGGAGCACCAGAGCCACTGGCAGGTGAAGATGCCACAGCTAATTTCCTTGACAAGTAAAGGTCTGCCATATCATCATCATCATCCAGAAGTTGTTCAAGTTCATCCCTGACCTGGGAATACAATTTTTAGAAAGATTTAAGTCCAAATGAAAGGGTAGCATTTACCATTTGTAGCTTTACTGGCTCTAACCATAGATTTTAACGATATTTTCAACCATATGCAAAACAGAAACATTAAAAACAGAAGATAAATTCGGAAACCAGGAAAAGGAATGTGATGGAGTGCGGCACTCTTTAGTATTTGATCTATCAGTTCAAAGTCTACAATACCTATTATGCAGCAAAGTGGAATGCAATGGTCCAATTTATGGGCTTGGTTGGGTTGACTGATTGGACTGATTTGTAACTGATTGAAGTAAATATTGGAACCCATCCTCTGTTCCACTCCAATTAGCTCCCTTCATTGTTTTTCTAGTCAGTTTGTGTAACTTGTTTTCAGCTTATTTCTCTTTCAATTACCCAGTGTAGCATTGAACCTAAGTTAATAGATCCATTT